GGGGGCTGGGGAATTCACCGCTGCGCGGCTGCTCGCGACGAAAGAGCCGGACGTGCCGACGAGCCGACCCGCCCGCCCGTCATCGCGCGCAGCGTGACAGGCACGCGACCGAGGGTGGGCGGCGCCCCAATTGAATCGATCCCGTGGCGAGAACGGGGGCGCGGCGCGCCCGCAACCCTGTGACGTCATCGCCGGAAGGTCAGTGGAGCCTTTGGAGCGACAAAGGGCGGCGGAGTCGGCGTCGGCGGCGATGGCGGGCGGGCCCGCGTTTGAGCGCTGTGGCAAGCGGCCTCTGCCCGCCTCTGTGCTTTGCTCGTTAGCTGCCGAGTACACGGGACGACCTGGCCCGCGCCGACCCTTGAGAGACGAGGAATTCGATACTCGGGTGGCCAATGCGTTGCTTCGATGTAACGTTTCACTCCCGCGTGCTGCAGGTAATATAGCGGGGACTTCGTGTGGAGATGGTGATTGATGGAACGTCTTCCCATTTTCTCTTCACTCTCAACTTTTACCAGACATCTGCATATAATTGTGTTCCTTACAGCAATCGCTATCTTACACTCATTCTTTTCTCGGTTTTGTGTCATTTCTGTTGTCTTCATTTTGTTTTGAAAATGCACTATTCTTCCTCTACTGCGGTATCGAATTTATCTTGCCAACCATTGAAATATTTGAAACTGTGAGATCAAAGTGGCACAGTTTGCCTCTCTTTTTTCTCCTGCACATTTACTATGCCAGTCCTTAAAAATTTCTACCGTACATACATTTTGTCCTGAACTGTAGTTCCATTGCCTCGTTGGCGCCAAGCGGTTGTAACGAACGTTCGATCCTTTTGTTGTGAGTCGGATACAATCAGGAATCCAATAGTTTCGCAATCCACCGGAAAATGTTTTCGGCCAGCCCTGAATATTCACATCGCGCGCTTCCCCGTCTGCCATTTTTGTGTCTCCACTGTCAACCCCACCGCCGCCCCAACCGCCTCGCCCTCGCGGCCCTTGCGCGGCTCAGTTGCCTGGCGCGTCATCGTGACGCAGGCGCAGGCGACAGATGCTCCTGCCAGATGGACGGCACGGCGTCCTTGCCAGACGCGGGCGCGCGAAATTGTGTTTGAAGGGAACGCGCCCTTCCCGTGATGCAAGCAAAGTGTGTAGACTGCATGGGACAGGAATGCGACTGGACTGAGGGGAGGAACGTGGTCGGAAGTGATCAGCTTATGAAGGATGGGTGCCATTTGCGAGGATTGTGAAGTTGTCGGTGTTTTTGCCAGCGATTCTGGCAGTTACGATGAAGTAAAATTAACGTATTGACAGCTGCAATTGTGACCTGTGTTATCACACTTTCCAGCTATCTAACTTTCCTTATGTGGGTATCCCTTATTCCAGTTAACGCATATGAAGTTTCCGGGTGAAAGACGGGGGATTCCCAGATATCCCCTCCCTGCATCTTAATTCACCGGTTTTCCATTATCATATGGTATATTTTTGAATTCGCTGGTTATCTGTTGTCAGTGTCCGGGTGTCAGAATAATTCCCAATCAATGGAGGATGAATCGTTGATGTTAGGCCCATGTACTGTGAAATGGACCACCGAAGTTGTCAAAAGCCATCACTTACGACACCGAATATCACATCCCGTTACAGTATTTTAGCTAGTGTTCGTGCGGTTGTTCATCTATGCATCCGTCACTCTCGGTTAAACCACTTCCCGCGCGCCAATCGAGACATGAGAGGTATCATTCGACACGTCTCGGTCTCCCGATGGGGAACGGATAATGTAATTTCGGATCCGGTGAGACAATTCTCGTAAATTTTCCAAAACGTGTTTGAGCGGTGCGTTGTTGATTTTTTTGTTACGTTTTTGATTTCGAAATCTTTTTAATTTTCCGCGCCGTGTCTTTCGCAGCGGCGCAGCCCCCTCTCAGGTGGCCTTCTGCTCTCGCTCCGCGGAGATGACGAGCTGCTCCCTTTGTGCGCGCCGCTGCCGCCATTTCCTTCGCGCATTGTTTGCCCTCTAATTAGATCTGCTCCTGCGCTTCTGGAGAGCAGCGCCCGCTGCAACCCGTGACTTGGCGCGCTTAAGAGCTGCGATGCGCTTTATGTGAGAAGTGGAGCTTTCTTCGGCGACACGCGCGCTTTTGTTCGAAGGATTTATGGATCTGTTTTACATTTGTAGATCGTATTTTCGCGTCGCGGAAACGTGCAAGCTTGAACTTGTACACACATTTATTAACGGATTTCTCTTTCGACGTGCAACGCGTACTCGCGTTGCTCGTGAAAGTTGGAATTGCTTTTGCTGGTCAGGTTCCACGTCTTCTCTCGATGTATGATCCTCTTGTGGATTATAGACACCACCAATATTTCGAATGCAGAATACTCGTAAAGTAGGAATTCGCGTTCGTTTTTTTTTTTTTTCTTCTTTTTTTTTTTTTTTTTTTTTTTTTCTTCCATCCTATGAAAAATATGTGAGCAATGGGAGTTTCTTTAAAAGATGAACTTACATGATCGAGATTTCAATAAATATCAACATGGCAATTGACGACCAGCATAAATACCTTTATTTCTATGGAATCAAAACTTCCATGGATCATGTATTTTATACATTTTGTCAAATTAATTTATAACTTTGTTATAATTTTTATTTTGCTTCAACATGAAACGAAACGTCAAAGATCAAAATAATATATTATGTAATTTTCAAAACACTTATTACATTTTATTTATGAATGATTCGTATTTTGAGTGCAGGTGGAACAGTTATATTGTGAACAAAAATACGTGTTGAATACAAGTGTCGCTCAGTGCAGTCTCCCGTGTGAGATTTCCGTGGTGTGTGTGTGGGGGGGGGGAGGGGGAAGGGAAGTCGGTCAGTGGCGCGAGGGGCGAAGAGCCGCCCCCGCACGACGCGGCGCAGGCAGTGGGGCAGTGAGCGCTCGCCGCCCCCGCGCTGCACGCAGCCGCATACACGCACGCAGCGCACGCACCGCGATCGATACGCGGCCTGGCCTGGCCCGGCGCGGTGCGTCGCGTCGACGCCCCGCCCCTCCAACGCCCTCTTTTCCGGCACGCCCATCCCTCTCTCTCTTCTCTCTCCCTCTCCCTTTTCTCTTCTCTCTCCCTCTCCCTTTTCTCTCTCTTCCTCTCCCTTTTCTCTCTCTTCCTCTCCCCTTTCTCTCTCTCCCTCTCCCTTTTCTCTCTCTCTCTCCCCTTTTCTCTCTCTTTCTCTCTCTCTGTTTGCCGTTCTCCATCGCCTCGCCTTTCCATGACCCGCCTCCCCGCCTTGTTCTTCCTCACCGCTCGGCCGCCGCTTCTCTCTCCGTTGCCTTACTGACAACCCTTCTGTCCCCGGGCCAGCTTCTCTCCCCACAGCATATTTCCGCTCTTTGTCAGCGCCGCCTTCCGGCCCGTCCCGCCCCGCTTCCCTCTTCTTCTCTCCCTGCCCCTACCCGTCTTTTCCGCTCTTCGCGTCTCTCGCCTCCCTCACCGCACTACCACTCCACCCCGCGATTCTCCCCGCTCTGCCCCGCTCCCACCTCCGCTGCGCCTGTCACCCCGTCCCCTGCCGCCGCCCGCCCCGCCTGCGGCCTCTGCGCCTTTCCCCGCCCCGTCGGCTCCACCTGCACTGCAGGCGGCCTAACTGCGGGGCAGCCTCCGCGGCCCGGGCGATGCGCACACAGCGAAGATGAGTTGTGAGGATGTGCCTCGTACTGACGTAGCATTCTTTACGAAGAAAGTTAGCCAAACCAATAATATTCTCTTTTCTTTCTTTCTTTCTTTCTTTCTTCCTTTTTCTTTCTTGCCCCCAGCGCAAGGAAGACATCGTTCAGTGAGATGCCCTGGCATTTCTATTATTCCATTCTGTTACAACGCTGTCAAACTTGTGTGTCTATGTTAATGCTGAACACCGTCGTACCATGTCAGCATCGAACGGAACATCGTCGTCATCGAACATCGTCGGGTGTATGGGTGTTTCTATGAAATATGAGTTAAATAACAAAACGCAAAATACTATTTTTATGCCTTAATAAAAGTTTGTAACAAAGAGTCTTTCCGTTTATTGTTTTCTTATAGTTTCTCTGTAATATTAGAAAAAATTTACAGAGATATTTCCATATTCTCCTCCCATCACAAATCGTGATTCTTACTGCGATTGTTGCTTAGATTGTCTGTTGGATTAAGTAAAATAATAATAATAATAATAATAATAATAATAATAATAATAATAATAATAATAATAATATCCGATAGGCCTTAAATAAACACTGCTAGTATTTTGCCAACTCGCTAATTTGATGTATTTCAATGCTTTCAAATGATTTTGAATTATGATTTCATAATTGTCTCTTCCTGGGAAGATAAAGCATCTGAGAAAACCTAGGCTTTTAGGGTCAGTGTATTTGAAACGGAATTATACTATTCCTTGGGTGTCTCATTCTCCACAGGTTAATAAGTACTGCAAGCTGTCTTCCTTACCTTTAAGACCAGATATGTGACTATGCACTTTGGGATAAAGACACTTTGCTTCACAACATACACCGGCGTATCGTTCGAGGAATCTAAAAATAATGAATGCTTTCTTCAGTGCGAGAATTTCGCAAGTCGTGCGCTGTAATAGGAACCTTCATGATTTATCACTACAGCACATGATTTATTGTTTCCTTCCTTGTTTCACCATATTTGCGGCGAGGGCTATTTATTCCTTCTTATTTCCTTTAGCAGCAACACAACGATTATGTTCCATCCGTAATTAGAACTACATTCCTTGACTGTTCGTCTCGACACGCAACTTCGTCAGGCGGCCCACCGTTATTGTCGATGGCTTGTATTCCCCCACTTTCGCTCTCACCACCGAGTCAAATTAAATGCTCTGGAGGTTGGCTACCCTTACAGTGATGCTGCGCGTGTGTCAAGCTCTACTATCGTCCGTTGAACATATCGGTTTTCGTTCTTCATTCATAAAGAAGGGCGGGTTGCTAATGATGTTTAATAATTTATGCGTTCACATTACCTTAAGTCACTTTGAGAGTATACGGAGTTGGCAGGGGTGCCCGTAGTAGGTTGGCCGGCCTGCCGGGGTTCGGGTGGTGGCGAGGTCGCGGGTTCGGAGCCGGGACGGGCGGGCGCGAGGGAGCGGTCGGCCCAGCGCCGTATTTGGCCATCCGGCGTGCCTCACCGCGAAAGGCAAGCGGTTGCGGCGGCGTCGGCGGGGGGGAGGGGGGGCAGGTATACGCGCACGCACGCTCGCATACGCAGGAGCGTCTTGTCCCGCCCCGCCCCGCCACACCGCCGCCTCGTGCGGTAAAGTGCCCTAATTGGAGCGAAAGCTTCTGTGCGTCAAACGCGGGAGCGACCGTTCGCTTTGCCAGAGCGCACGATACCTCGGGGCAAAGGGGTTGCCTCCTTGCATACGCACAAATACACGCGCGTGTGCATGCGTGAATGCGACTTTGAAAAGCGAAAAGAACAATACTGCAATGGGGCTGTTCTACACACTACACAGGAAGTGCTTTAGTGTGTTTGGTTACACTTAAATGAGTGTTTAGGGTTTTGAGATAAAGCATGACGAACATTTTTGTTTTTCATTCTGAGAGTTGAAACAAATGAGCATTATTGTACTTGAGACCTTTTTAGCAGCATCAGTTGAAACATGAGTGTTAGCAAAAGGGAAGGCCGAAAAATTGCGTTAGATTTCTTATCAAGATTATGGGAGTTCCGGTAGAAGTAATATAGATGTCTCCCATCTAGGCGATAATTGTCAGTTTATTCCCAGCAAGATCATCGGTTCTGAGAGAGTGCAGAGGTAATTCGCTTTTTTCATTCAGAATTGCCTATTTCCTCTCAATTTGACTCCGCTCGTTGGTATAATTGATGAATGTTGTACAATTGCTTTCTGCAAGTGGCAGTGCGTAAGTAGATTTCTGAAAGGTATAATAATTGTCGTAAAAGTCTTCGAAATATTGAAAATTTCTAGACCCTTGTCTTTTTGAAAGATATTTTGATTTTTTATGTTTGTTTTCTTGTTATTTGTTATATTGTTTTCCAGATAGAGATACGTGTTCTTAATCAACTTGAGAACTAAATAGTTTAATTGATCCTGCGTCCACTTTTTGTTATGAATATGTAACAAAATTGTCAGC